TATCTATCTCGATCTCTTCATATCTATCTATCTATCTATCTATCTATCTATCTATCTATCTATCTATCTCGATCTCTTCATATCTATCTCGATCTCTTCATATCTATCTATCTATCTATCTATCTATCTATCTATCTATCTATCTATCTATCTATCTATCTATCTGTCTGTCTGTTTGTCTGTCTGTCTCGATCTCTTCGTGTCTATCTATCTATCTATCAAAAGTTTCAAATCTAGTGCTTCAAAAGAAAGAAAAAAATTAACTGTCGCCTGAGGTATCTCTGGAGGGTAATATTTTTTAAATCAACGAGTTTCCTACAGAAGGTATCGAAGGAGAGCGAGAAAAAGAAGAAGCATAAACTACAAGAAGACAGAATTCATGGTCATCATTAAAAAGATGAGGCCGAAATGCGATTTACAGGTCGGGGGCACTAGAATCAAGCGGGTGCGAAAATTGAAATGTCTGGTAAGTGTTTTGACAGAGGACGGCAAGCGCAACTCTGAGATCCGAAGACATATTGGGATGGCGAAAGACGCATTCCAAAAGACGGAGTATTACGAGACAGGAGGATTTCTTGTAACAAAGAAAGGAGTACTGAGCTGTTACGTGACGCCTGTCCTCCTTTACGGCAGTGAATGCTGTATGGTTTCCTCAAAGATGAAGAAGAAACTCGAGGAGGCGGTGGTATGGTTCTACAGAAGGATGATAAGGATATCATGGGCCGAGCGTGTGAGCAACGATGAGATTTTGGAGAGGATGCAAACAAGGAGGTAGCATATACTTAACATCACAAAGAAGCAGTCGAAATTTCTGGGACACGTAATGAGAAAGGAGGGCTTAGAGAATCTGATACTCACAGGTCGAATAAAGGGAAAAAGAGACAAGAGAAAGCAACGCATGACATACCTTAAGCATGTGGATGACATAACATGGCCTAGGGAAATATCAAAGGGACAAAACTTATTGAGAGCTACAAGGCATAGGGAGGAGTAGAGAGCCATGATCGTCTACGTCCTGAAGGGACACGGCACATAAAAAGAAAGAAGTCTTTGTAATTATAGTCCTTGATAACAAGCAGAATTAATAGTAACTAATTTTACGTCCTGGGTAAGACGTTAAACTACGTCCAGCAGCAAGGCATCAGGAGGTTAATTGCTGGTGTTCCCAGGTCCACCCTGACCTGGGGTGGTAGCACCTGTTAGGGTCCCAGCTATGGGCAAATAGTTAACTATTACCAGCAATACTTTTTGAAATAAAATTATTACCAGCAATGCAATTTTGAAGGAAAAGTATTACCAGAAACAAATTTTTGACAAAACAAAATATTACCAGCAATAAAAAAAATTGTCAGCATTAAATAACCCATTGAGGTGTTGGTATGCCGTAAAACAAAATAAACCAAACCAAGTAACTAATTTTTTTTTTTTTTGTCTGAGATGCTTTAATCAAAATTTGTCATTTTTCCCTCAAAAGAACCAGCATTGCTGTTAGAGAGATAAAAATATGTGCGTGCTTGTGGGAGAGATGATTACTACGAAAATACCTGTTTTATATCATTTTTTTACCTGCCCAGTAACCTTTAGTTTTGACAAGCGTCAAATCTAGTATTTCAAAAGAAAAAATTTAGGATTCGACCGCGGTATCTCTGTATAATTACTCTCCAAGCTTGAATTAATCATAGCTGAAGGTTGGAAGATTAAAATTGAAGCATTCTAATATTTTAATGCATTTTATATACTTGGCTTTATAGTCTTACTTACGAAGACGCTTGTTGAAGAAATGTTAGACAATTACCACAAATTTTAAATTTACTCTATCTACCGCTCTTATTTTCTAATAATGTCACATTTGGACATCCATATTTACAAAAATCGGCACATACAAAAAAAAAAGAAAATTAAAAAAGAAATATTTTAAAAATACTGGGGATCTCTGAATTGTAATAAATTTTTCTATTTATGATTAACTAGCAGCATGGCCCGGCGTTGCCCGTGCTTGATTCAAAAATAGTATGACTAATACAGCAATCGCTATCACTTGACTTAAAATAGTTTTGCCCTTCCTTGCCTTTAAAGGAGTGCCCTTTGCCGTGCTGATGTTGTTACATACCTTACTTCTTGTCTATATCACACTGCCAACTTTTTCTAAGCTCTATAGTAAACATTAAATCTGTTACGAAAAAAGAACTAAACAAAATAAACACAATACGATCAGCTTTAAAAAAACGGAAAAAACATTTTTAAGGGTTGACCGATTGTCGATTTGCACGCTGTTTGGGGGGGGGTGCTCAGAGTTGAAACTTCACATGATGACTCCCAATGGCCTCTTCATAAATCCGCCCGGTTTTCGCTGAAAACCGACATGCGGTTCAGACACAATCTGGGCGTATCGGTTTTTGGGTTTTATCGATTTTCCGCGCTGTTTAGGGGTCCGTGGTCATGAAACGTCTGGACAACACTTCTAATGGTAGACTCTAAGAGGGTGTCAAATTTGGTTGAAATGCAATCATTCCTTCTGTAAGCAGAATCTTTTCGATTATTGATTTTTTCGATTATCGATTTTTTCGGAACCTGATTCCGAACTCAAAAATCCTTACGGCTGCCATTTGGAAACTTGTGTTGAAAACCGCATCGAAATCGGGTGAGAAATGCGGCCTGTGCGAGGTAACAACGCCCACGACAGACACACAGACAGACAACATGAGATAGATAGATAGATAGATAGATAGATAGATAGATAGATAGATAGATAGATAGAGTTTTGTTTAAAAACCATATCACTTGAGCGTTACAAATTAATACAGAATTTTAAAAGATTTAAAACTTTATGAAATATTCTAATTTAAATTTTAAAAACCTTAAAACAAATCTTGTCAAAATTCATTATTTTTTTAACTATGTGAATTTCATTTACCGGCCTGTGTATTCGAGAGTTTTAAAAACAAGAATATTCTCTTTAACAAGATTAGCAAGACTCTCGAGTGCACAAACCGGTAGATGCAAGTCATGCTCTTAAAAATTCAAGGCGTCTACTCAAACACGTAAATATATAACGTACAGAGTAATAGGAAATAACAGATTCAAAATAAAGTCTATATGTGTGTGTGTGTGAGTGCGTATACCGTGTGTAACAGCAAAATTATCCACATCGTGTAACACCAAAATTGTTCAATTGTTAGATGATGTTTGAACCGTTGTATCTTAGAAAGATATCTTACTGGAATTCTCGGAGGTTTTTATAACACTATTGGACTCTACTTTGAGCAATAAGACTGAGTAATTAACAAGCTTAACAGAAGAATTGTGATGAAATCGATCATAAACGAAAATGACATGTTCATCATTAATTAATCATAGCTAAGGAGTGGAAGCTCATGAAGGATTGAAGTAAAAATTCATATATATATATATATATATATATATAGTGATTACATTCTCCACGATCATCTCGTGGAGAATGTAATCACTCTTTTCTTTCTGTCACATTTCGTGGTGTACCTGTGCCAAAACTGTTAATCAAGATACCTGGTGATGAAACAAAGGCAAGAATAAATAAACCCATACCTTTTTTCAAGTACATTCGTACGAAGTGAACGAAACAACTTTAGATGAAATTCGAACTTGGGTTGTCGATACCAATTTTACATTACGTATTTACATTTGCTATATATATATATATATATATATATATATATATATATATATATATATATATCTGCGCGTCTGTAACGAGACTGAAAATGGTATGTTGGTTGCAGAATTAACTTTCCTCAGGTATATTTGCAGGGAAATAACACAATTTCTTGCTTCCAAATTCTTTTGCCAAAGGCAAAAGTAATTTTATTACCTGACCAATCAGGAAACGAGTCAGATAACAGAATGGAGACTTCTGATTGGATTAAGATAAGTCTCTGATCTCCTCGGTGACGTCAGCGCCAAATGTCGCCAATCGATTGGATGTCCTTCTAATTCTGCGTTCCCCAAACCATAATCAGGAAAACGTGAAACATGGGGATCTGAAAGCGTCAGGTAAAATGGCTTCAAATACACAAACAATGCGCAAATATCGCTGTAACTTTTTTTTTTTTTTTTTTTTTCCTATAGATTTATTTATGTTTTTGCTTATTTGTTTTGGTTCGGTTAATATTTGCGCGACCGAATAGAACTTGTTAAGCTACTTTGTTTCCGTGTGGTTATCTCCCAAAGCCCAAAACAGCAACTATTTGTATATATGTATGAGTTCTTATCAGGTTGATCTTTGCGCTTGACAACAGAGTTATCTCAGTTAGTTGTTTGTTTTCTTTCATTTTTACTTTTCTTTTCTTTTTTTTTCTTTCTTTAAAGTTTGTTACAGCTACAGTTATTTCATACTGATATCGATCTCAGGAAAGAATTATGGACGATTTATACGGATACACTTACCCGAAACCAATAAAATAAATGAATGAATGATGATGATAATAATAATAATACAACTTGGAGAAAGGCCCAAAATAAAACAATAAAAAGAAAAACAAAGAATAAAACGAAGAGGAAAAGACAAAGAAAAAACAAAACAAAAAAGGAATAAAGGGAAAAAAACAAAACAAGAAAAATAAGAATTTAGACATATGCACTTACCCGAAACCAATAAAATAAATCAATAATAATAATAATAATAATAATTACAACGACAATAATAATACAGTTTGAAGAAATGGTAGAAAGATATAAAATAAAATAAGAAAAAGAAGACGAAGCAGAAAAGAACAAGTCGTAAAAAGACAAAAGAAAAAATGAAAAACAAAGAAAAGAAAAGAAGAAAAAGAAGAAAACTAGAAGTTATAACAAAATGAAAAATAAAATAAAAATTGAAATTAAAAATGAATAGAGGCATAAGACAGGAAAATAAAAAGAAGAAAAAGAAAAGAATAAAGAAAACGACAAAGAAAATAATAATAATAATAATAATAATAATAAAACTAGAACCAGTTGTGACAAAATAATAAAAAAGAAAAAAAGAAAAATGTATAAAAGCAGAAGACAGAGAGGAAAAGAACAAGAAGAAAAAAAGACGACAAAAGAAAAATGAAGAAGAAGAAGAAGAAGAAGAAAGTAGAGGTTATAAAAGACAGAGTGGAAAAGATAAAGAAGAAAAAAAAAACGGAGAAAAAAGGATAAAAGAAAACGAACAAAACGAGAAAAAAAAATATTATGGAAGATTTAGACGTATAAACTTATTCGGAAGGAATAAAATAAAATAAATATAAATAAACAAACGAATAATAATAATAATAATAATAATAATAATAATAATAATAATAATAAAATAGGAAAGGAAAAACAAACCGAAACAATCAAAAGAACAAACGAAGTAAAAGAAGAGGAAAAGGGCGAAAAGAAATAAAAGGAAGAAGATAAGGAGACGAAAGAAGAAAAAAAAAGGATAAGAAGAAAACAAGAAAAAAAAAACAAGAAAAGAAAAACAATTACCGCAAAAATAAGCTAATAAGAAAATTTATAACAGGAAAGAAAGAATTGGCAAAACTGTTTCTTTTTTTTTCTTTTTTTTCCTTTTTCGACTAATCTCGTCTCCTCCAGAAATTGTATCAACGATTTCCAAAGTTATTTCTTTCTTCAGTTTTGTTTCGTTAAAACACAAGCAAAACGTCGTAAATTCGACAAGCAAATAAACACACGAAGCCGGCGAGTAAACTGGTGCGAGTCAAGCGAAGAAGGCGTTTGATTGAGTTAACGTTTGTGCGGCAACGTGATCTTGCGAGAGAATTCCCGAAAAGAACGAGATTGAGTAAGAAAAAAAAATCCTGCACGTAATCATTTAACAAGATAAGGAGACCGTATTAGCAGCCACCAAATGTTCACTGGAATTCTTATACCGTTATCAGTATCATTTCTAATGTCAGAGATCAGGGTTCGAATATTAGAATATACCATATGAATGGTTATAAGATTTATAAATTACTTTATTTGCCTTTTTATGCCCCTTCAGGAAATGAACGATCGCGATTCTTTTTTGCCTCCTGTCCTTTAGAGTCTAAACCAATGATTTCCAACGTCGAGCACATAACCAACCAGTGGGGCATGGTAATATTTTGGTGGGGTATGCATAAGATGTGCACCCTTCGGCTTACTATAACAACATGATCTCAAATTTCATTTTGCATTATTATTTCATGATTAAAATAATCAAAGTATATGACAGAATAAACTTTCATTCAAATATTTTATATTTCTGCCTTTCAGTTCTCTATTATATGCTTTGAAACGATATATATTTAACTGTCTTCTTGTTTTTTTTAATTTTTCTCTTTCATGGACTCCATGGTCTTTGGAGGCTTGTTTATAGAGACCAAGTTAATGGCCTTTTCAACTTCCTTCACGTGAATTGCCGTAAAATTTTGAATATGTAAGAATTAAGTATTAGAGGGGGCACCAGAATTTTAGAAATACCAAAGTGGGGTATGGCCCAAAATCGGTTGGGAATCACGGCTCTAAGCATTTGTCTTCATATTGTCCCAACTAATCCATGATTTGCTAAACGTTTAAATAAACTCGTTAGGTAGGTTTTTCGTTCTTAATCTCTGCCCATATTGTTTTCATTATCTCCTTGTGCGTGTTGAATTTTCTAAGCCCTTCTTCTTCATTATATATAATAAAAGATGGTTAGAAAAACATGGCTCTCGTTGAACACTGTAATACAAATGCCAACAATCAACTATCTACCGCAGAATAGAAATCGGGCGTTTCTTTTGAATGTTTATTATCCTACCTCCTCTGATCAACCGCCGTCGAGAGTTCCACAACATGTATCCACGCATGCATGATCCACTTAAGGGAGGAGTTGTAAATAACGCATTCACAGCAGTTAGTTCTGGACTCCGTAATATTTTTTATGTCTATATCAATGATTCCCAACGTGGAGCGTATGCCTCACCGGTGGAGCCTGGTAATATTTTGGTGGAGAATGCGTAGGATGTGCAAACTTCGGCTTACTTTACCAACAGAGTGGCAATTTGAGAATAAGTTATTAACAGAAAACTGTTTTCTAGTGAGCTCATATTTCATTTTGCATTAATATTTCATGATTAAAATAATCAAAGTATATTGCAGAATAAACTTTCATTCAAATATTTTATATTTCTGCCTTTCAGTTCTCTGTTATATATTTTGAAACGATATATATTTAATTGTCGTTTTTTTTTAATTCTCTTTCGTGGACGCCATGGTCTTTGGAGGCTTGTTTAGAGACCAAGTTAATGGCCTCTTCAGCTTCCTTCACGTAAATTGCAGTAAAATTTTGAATATGTAAGAATTAAACATTACAGAGGGGGCACCAGAATTTTAGTACCAAAGTGGGGAATGGTCCCAAATCGGTTGGGAACCACTGGTCTATATAGTATGCACTTCACCAGGGTTATATACGGTGTTGAATTCAGAATTTTCCTTCTCCTAGATTGGTTTCCAACCTATGCCAGAGATCCAACTCTGCTTTACTATTTCACCTATTACCGAGGGAAAAGAGATGGATTCAGGGTTTTTCCAAGATTATTTGTGCGAAAGTGAACTCGACCAGGATTCGAACTCGATTCGCCGATTTCTTGTTCCGAGCCATTGAAGCATTACACCCCCTGCAGTCTATATCAGGAGGTAAATCAATAAATAGTACCTTTATATTCATGAATGCTTAGATGACGATTAAAAATGACAGAATAAATACAAAAGAAAAATGCCCGGTTTATTTCTGACGACATCGCAAATATTTGAGACAAGTGATTTTCGATTGCGACTTGACCTGGTCCCCTCCCGTTGTAGGCACTCATCCTGTTTGGGAGAAACGGGTCTTCATGCCTCGATCCCAGCTCAATTAAATCTCGATAGAATCTCTCATTACGATCTTCACTGATGGCAATGAGATCGGTTAGAAATTCCCGAGATGAGAATCTTTGAAGAGATGTCTGACATCTACTTTTTAATACACTGAAAAACATGCAGCCAATTCCAGTGAATAAACATATACTATTATTATGGACATGTATGTGTGTACGTGTATCTACAATTATCAGAAAAAGGCCTTAATATACGCCTGGGTGGATGTATATGTCTGTGCACATAGTTTGGAATATATATATATATATATATATATATAAGTTATGAAAAACTTGGTAATCCGTATGGATAGTCCCAAGGAAGATGAAATCCTGAGAGCTCCATATAAATCCAGAGCTAATAATTTAAAGAAAAACAGACCACTTTAAAGTTCCATTATAATAATTTATTTCACCAGAGCCCTTTTAAGGGACGCTGGATCAACAGATAACACTTCCAAAAAATGAAATTAAAGATGAAATGAAAATTCACACTTTTGACGGGTAGTATTAAGTTTATGTAATTTAACAGAGAAGGTAGCGATGTGTGGTGTGAGAGACATGGTCGAGTTTAGAGAGGTTTTATGTGTGTATGTATATGTGTGTGTGTGTGTGTTTGTGTGTGTGTGTTGTTGATTTTGCACAAGACTTCACCACTATAATCAAATTAAATGTGTGGATAGTCTGGCTATTGGCTCTAAGAATTGAGCTGCTTGACTCTTATACCTCGAAAAATTGTCGAGTATATCGTGGACTCTCCCGTCGTTGATCGATGTGAGCTGTTGACCCATGCCTATCCGGGACCCTTTTACGATATACGAGCTTCAAGCCATTCAGTTCCTAGGAACTGACAGCCAGACAACCTGCACATATCAGTTGGAGTTTCTACCCTTGAGCTATCAGCGCACAGTAGAAAGAAATGGAAATTCTAATGTATTATTTTTACGAATGGAAACAAACGCCAGACAACCATAGTGCTCGATTCATTTAATGAACAGCGTTGCGTTAGCGGAAACGGCTGCTGTTTAGAATTAATCTATCTCTCAAAAGTGCTCAACCGAAATTATCAAGAGCATAATAATGTCATCCACATAGAGGCCTTTTTTCGCTGTATCACAGCTCATCAGTGTGGCTAGATATATATATATATATATATATATATATATATATATATATATATATATATATATATATTGAACAATAAAAATATTAAAAATTAAAATCATCAGACACACTGGGTTGTATATTAATATTCCTTCGTTTTTATTATTATTACATTTAGATCCCTCGACTAGTTTCGGCCAACATGGCCATCATCAGGAGAAAAATAATTTTCTGCTTGCTGGTAGCAGAGAACTACAGAAATGAATGTCTTGATGGAAAAAATAAACTTTTGTCTGTAGTTTTCATTTGTTTTTTTTGTTTTTTAATTTTTTTAACATGAATTTTGCTGAGTCCTTGTGTTGGTCAAACAGTCTCTTTTAAGTTGTTATTTAGGATAAGAGGTGGATGGATTCATGCTGCTCTGAATTCCCTTGGTCATTTTGACAGTTTTATTGGTTCCTGGAAAGGGGATGTGTCTCTGTTAAGTGTGTGTGTGTGTGTGTGTGTGTGTGTGTGTTATTTGGTTTAGGGAGTGAGTGAGTATGATATATGTAAGCGTTTATATTACTAGGGGTGTATGTTATCATTTGGCTCATTAGGAAGTGAGTGAGTATGATGTGTGTAAATGTGTATATTCGTCTGGATGTGCGTATAAGTGTGAGGCCTCAACACCTCCGTAAGCATGTCTGTCTTGTGTGGGTGAGAAATGTGGGTAGAACTTGATTTGTAGGCTAATATATTAATACTATCTATATTGTTAAATTAATGGTTAAGCCCGGCTGGATAGTGCGTTTTTAAACGTTGTATCCACTTATTTTCATGGAACTCTAAAATCTTTCTAATGTTATCTGCTCTGAACTTTTCTATTCCCTCAATTATAGTGAATTTGGCATGGGTTTTAAAATCGTGTTTTTCTAGGCGGAAATGTTGTTCTACAGGTAATAATTTTTCATGGGGAGTCGACTTAATTCGATTGTGATAATTATTAATTCTGTAGTGAAAGGGCCATTCAGATTTTCCTACATATTGTTTCTGACATAGTGTGCATTCTAGGAGGTAAATTATGTTATGATTTCTACAGTTAGAGTCATGGTAGATTTTGTAAGTAGATTTCGTGACTGAGCTAGTGAATGAATTCGTGTGTTTAATGTGGTTGCAGCATAAGCTTCTTTGTTGTTACATGGTTGGGAAAATCCTGTTGATTTTGTTGTTGGTTTATTACGGATTACCTTGTCCCCTGAAATGTGGTTACTACCTATGATTTCTTTTAGGTTCTTAGGTCTAAGATATGCTAGAAGGCCGGGTTCCTCAAGCAATTTTTTTAGGCCTGGTTTGAGATGTAGTATTTCCCAGCGACTTTTGATTATTTGGGATAGTGGAGGCAGAGTGGGGTTGAAAGTGATTACTCGAGGGATGCGGCTTCCCCAGAATTAGCATGGGATGAACTTGACAGAAGAGAGAAAAAAATGAGAAAAGAGTTCTTAGAGTCATTGAAAAAAGAAAGGAATCAATTATCAAACTTATACTTTGAGAAGCTTTTGCAACGAATGCCAAACATTTGTGCTGCAGCAATCAAGGCTAAAGGAGGATATTTTGACGAGAGCAAAATTTAATTATAATATGCTTTCTTTTTTTCTTTTTGTCATAATAAAATTTCTAATAAAAATTCATGACAGACTTTTTGTTAACCGTGTTTAATAATATTCTCTTATTTAAAATACAAAACAAGTATTTTCGGGGCCAATTTAAAAAATTACTAGGTGTTCCCTCAAACTTTTGTAGTGCGCGTTTGTATGCTTATCAATGTATGTGCATGTGTTAAAGTGTGTGCATATCTGTACGTTTATGTGTATGTATATGTGTGAGTGACTATATGTGAGTAAAAATTACAAATTATGTTGCCCGTCAAGCAAATAGGCTTCTCTTTTTGATGAACTAAAATGGAGAGAAAAATGCGTATGTTTCATATACAAGGCAGTCCAAATGTCTCGCTCTTATTGACAAAAAAGCGCGCATTTGTGAAATGACAAATCTAGAATATTTACCTGACATCATAATCTATAGCCCAATACATCTTCGAAGGCTTACGGCCATATGACATCGAAACACACGAAGTTAACAAGCGTTGAGCTTAGTCACTATTTAGATGGGTGACCGCTTGGAAATACCAGGTGCTGTTATCTCAGATCTGCCGGTGGAGTAATGGATAATGGCTCGGAATTTTTAATCGGAGAGCCGAGTTCAAATTCCAGTTGGGTTCATTATATTCACTTATGTGCAAATACCTTTGGGAAAGATATGAATCTATCTTCTCCCCTAGCTATGGGTTAATTAGTAACTTGTATAACTAATCCGTTATTATCTAAAAAAAGAAAAGAATTTTTACAATCTAAAAATATTTTCTGGCTTTAAATAACCTACAAAGAGGTGATAAACCGTAAAAACGAATCAACCAATCAATCAACATCTTCCAATTAATATATTGTCATATATCGAAAGATTATTTCATTTATTAAATTAAATTAGATTTTCTCAGCTTATTCAATGTTAATTCGACTTTTGGACCAGCCAATATAAAAAGCGCGTCTCACTAGCAAACTATCTAAAAATGGTTTCAGAAATGTCTTAATGGCGGGAGAAAACTCGTCAACATCTTCACTCGTGACCTTCTAAGAAAAGGTTCGTAAAAAAAAAAAAAAGAGAGAACAAATTCTTTTGGGTTTTTCTTATGAATATTTGTTCTCATTTATCTGCAAGCGGAGGCTACAAAAGGACATGTGCGAAAATGGACAGTCGGGTAACTTGATAGAAATCAAGAAAACCTACTTATCATCCTTTTTTTTTGCTCTACATACCAATTCATTTCCCTGTTTAACTTTTTCTTTCTTTTCATAAAAATTCACTTCACTTTCTTTCTTTATTCTTTCTTTCTTTCTTTCTTTCTTTCTTTCTTTCTTTCTTTCTTTCTTTCTTTCTTTCTTTCTTAATATTTCCGCTTTCTTTCTTTCTTTCTTTCTTTCACAATTTTATCCTTTATTTCTATGCTTTTTCTTCCATTCTTTTTTTAATATTCACCTTTCTTTCTTCTTTCTTTCTTTCTTCTCTTTCTTTCTTTCTTTCTTTCTTTCTTTCTTTCTTTCTTTCACAATGTTATCCTTTATTTCTGTGCTTTTTCTGCTATTCTTTTTTAATATTCACCTTTATTTCTTTCTTTTTTAATATTTCCCCTTCGTTACTTATTTTTAAAATTATCCATTCTTTCTTTCTTTCTTTCTTTCTTTCTTTCTTTCTTTCTTTCTTTCTTTCTTTCTTCTTATTATCCATTTTTAATATTTCCATTCTTTCTTTCATAATATTATTCTACCCTCCTCTCTTTCTTTCTTTCTTTCTTTCTTTCTTTCTTTCTTAATATTTTCCATGTTCCTTTTTTAATATTATCCATTCTTTCTTAATATTTCCCATTTTTCTTTCCTTCTCGCCTTTACTTATAGTCTTTCTTTCTTTCTTTCTTTCTTTCTTTCTTTCTTTCTTTCTTTCTTCCATAATATTAGCCTGAATTTCTTTCTTTCTTTATTTAATTATGAATATTTTCCCTTTCTTTCTTTTTCTTAATATTATCCATACTTTCTTAATATTTCCCCGTTCTTTCTTTCTTTCTTTCTTTCTTTCTTTCTTTCTTTCTTTCTTTCTTTCTTTCTTTCTTTCTAAGTTGCTATCTGATAATAATTTAATCTGATAAACAATGACGTTCTTTTATCCCTCAAATTCTAAATATGTTAAAAGATAAATTTATAAGATATCAACATTTTAACTTAGATCAACGATATTTTTAATTAATGCTTAATGATTAATTATTCAAAGAAATTGTAAAAAAAAATTGCCTTGTACCTGACCTAGATAAAAACAATCGTTCAAAGGGACTATCGATTTTTACATAGGCAAATATCAGAAGGACATGAGTAAATATGTGATGAAAAGATGGCTGTAAACTTTCAAATTCCATTTTCTTCTAATTTGTGCTTCACTTCCTCATTTTAATTCAACATCTGTTTTCTCATGTACAAGGTCACGTTAATATTTTTACCAGTCGCGGAGTTTGCAATCAATTCGTTATGTTTTTTCTATTCTCTTTAATCTTCCGTGTACTTTTCAATGGGGCCAGCTGCTTGCAATCTTATCGTGAAAAGTTCAAGGGGGCGGAATTAAAAAGTCGACGCTGCCGTTAATAGCCATCTTGTTCGCGTTCCCCTGTTTTACGGCTTTTAGTGAATGTAAGCTCTTTGCTCGGAGCGATGATAACAGGTTGTGTCAGTGAATTGATAGGGAGAGTGACACTGACGATTGCTTTGATTGCAAAAAGATTTGGAGAAAAAGAAGAAGAAATAGAGAAAGAAAGAAAAAGAGAAAGAAGGAAGATGAGTAGAATCTGAAGAAATGAAAGAAATAGAGAAAAAAATAAAATTAGTAGAATCTAAAGAAATTAAAGAGAAAGAGAGTAGAGTGTGAAGAAATGAAAGGAAAAGAGAACGAAGGAAAAGTGTAGAATCTAAAGAAATTAAAGAAGTGAAAGAGATATAAAAAAAAGAAAGAAAAAGAATAGAATCTGAAGAAATGAAAGAAAAAAGAAAGAATGAAAAAGAATAGAATCTGAAGAAATGAAAGAAAAAGAGAAAAAATGAAAAAGTAGAATCTGAAGAAATGAGAGAAAAAAAGAAAGAATGAAAAAGAATAGAATCTGAAGAAATGAAAGAAAAAAGAAAGAATGAAAAAGAATAGAATCTGAAGAAATGAAAGAAAAAGAGAAAGAATGAAAAAGAATAGAATCTGAAGAAATGAAAGAAAAAGAGAAAGAATGAAAAAGTAGTATCTGAAGAAATGAAAGAAAAAGAGAAAGAATGAAAAAGAATAGAATCTGAAGAAATGAAAGAAAAAGAGAAAGAATGAAAAAGAATAGAATCTGAAAGAAAAAGAGAAAGAATGAAAAAGAATAGAATCTGAAGAAATGAAAGAAAAAAAAAGAATGAAAAAGAATAGAATCTGAATGAATGAAAAGAAAGAATCTGAAGAAATGAAAGAAAAAGAAAAAAAATGAAAAAAAAGAATAGAATCTGAAAAATGAAAGAAAAAAGAAAAAAAAGTAGAATCTGAAGAAATGAAAGAAAAAGAGAAAAAATGAAAAAGAGTAGAATCTGAAGAAATGAAAGGAAAAAAAGAAAGAATGAAAAAGAATAGAATCTGAAGAAATGAAAGAAAACGAGAAAGAATGAAAAAGAATAGAATCTGAAGAAATGAAAAATGAAAAGAATAGAATCTGAAGAAATGAAAGAAAAAGAGAAAGAATGAAAAAGAATAGAATCTGAAGAAATGAAAGAAAAAAAGAAAAAAAATGAAAAAGAATAGAAGAAAAATGAAAGAAAAAAAATGACAAAAAGAATGAAGAAATGAAAGAAAAAAAGAAAAAAATAGAATCTGAAGAAATGAAAGAAAAATAGAAAGAATGAAAAAAATAGAATCTGAAGAAATGAATGAAAAAGAATAGAATCTGAAGAAACGAAAGAAAAAGAGAAAAATGAAAAAGAATAGAATCTGAAAAATGAAAGAAAAAGAGAGAGGAATGAAAAAGTAGAATCTGAAGAAATGAAAGAAAAATAAAAAGAATGAAAAAGCGTAGAATTTGAAGAAATGAAAAAAAGAGAAAGAATGAAAAAGAATAGAATCTGAAGAAATGAAAGAATGAAAAGAATAGAAAGGAAATGAAAAGAATGAAAAAGAGTATCTGAAGAAATGAAAGAAAAAAGAAAAATGAAAAAAATAGAATCTGAAGAAATGAAAAGAATGAAAAGAATAGAATCTGAAGAAATGAAAGAAAAAGAAAAAATGAAAAAGAATAAAAGAAATGAAAGAAAATGAAAAGAATGAAAAAGTATCTGAAGAAATGAAAGAAAAAGAGAAAGAATGAAAAAGAATAGAATCTGAGGAAATGAAAGAAAAAAAGAAAGAATGAAAAAGAATAGAATCTGAAGAAATGAAAGAAAAAGAGAAAGAATGAAAAAGAATAGAATCTGAAGAAATGAAAGAAAAAGAGAAAGAATGAAAAAGAATAGAATCTGAAGAAATGAAAGAAAAAAAGAAAGAATGAAAAAAGTAGTATCTGAAGAAATGAAAGAAAAGAGAAAAAAAGAATAGAAAGAAATGAAAAAAGAATAGAATCTGAAGAAATGAAAAAAAAAAAAGAAAGAATGAAAAGAATAGAAAAGAAAAAAGAAAAGAAAAGAATGAAAAGAATAGAATCTGAGGAAATGAAAAAAAAAAAGAAAGAATGAAAAAAGAATAGAATCTGAAGAAATGAAAGAAAAAAAAGAAAGAATGAAAAAAGAATAGAATCTGAAGAAATGAAAAAAAAGAAAGAATGAAAAAGAATAGAAAAAGAAATGAAAGAAAAGAATGAAAAAGAAATGAAGAAAGAAAAAAAGAGAAAGAATGAAAAAGAATAGAATCTGAGGAAATGAAAGAAAAAGAGAAAGAATTGAAAAGTGTAGAATCTCTGGAAATGAAAGAAAAAGAAAAAGAATGAAAAAGAATAGAATCTGAAGAAATGAAAGAAAAAGAGAAAGAATGAAAAAGAATAGAATCTGAAGAAATGAAAGAAAAAGAGAAAAAATGAAAAAGAATAGAATCTGAAGAAATGAAAGAAAAAGAGAAAGAATGAAAAAGAATAGAATCTGAAGAAATGAAAGAAAAAGAGAAAGAATGAAAAAGAATAGAATCTTAGGAAATGAAAGAAAAAGAGAAAGAATGAAAAAGTAGTATCTGAAGAAATGAAAGAAAACGAGAAAGAATGAAAAAGAATAGAATCTGAGGAAATGAAAGAAAAAGAGAAAGAATGAAAAAGAATAGAATCTGAAGAAATGAAAGAAAAAGAGAAAGAATGAAAAAGACAGAGAAAGAAAAAGAGTAGAATCAAAAGAAAATTAGAATTTGAACAAAAAGTAATATTTAAAGATGTCTAAGAGGAGAGAGGTGGGTGGGGAGAGAGAAATCGAAGAAGAGTAGAATTTGAAGAAGAATGAAATTGTAGCAAAAAGAGGTGCTAAAGCCAAAAAAGAATCTGAAGAATTAAAGAGTAGAATTTAAAGATGAAGAAAATTGTGAATGGGTGAAGAACAGTGGAATTCGAATAGGAATGAAAAAGTACCATTTGAAGCAGTTAAAGAAGAAAGAGTAAATGAAAGAAAATTATGATAGGAGTAAACAACACGAAGAAGAAGAAGAAGAAGAAGAAGAAGAAGAAGAAGAACAACAACAACAACAGCAACAACAACAAAAAGAAGGGAATTTTGTGAAATAAAACACCAAACAAAAATGGAGAAGTGGCCCGGCTAGGGAATGAATGACAAAGATCATATTACTTCGTGGTTTATTGACAAGAATGAGAGAGAGATTTTTTATTTAGACGTTATCCTTGGGGTTTATTTGCTATCAAGGGATGAAGTTAGACGCTGCTAGTTGAAGCATCGAAACGGAGAACAATCTGATCAAAACAGTGTTACGATCATAGGGAGAGATAACCAAAGATAGCTATCAAGGGTTTTGCGAATAAAATGCCTTGTTTAATGGGCGCCGCATGCACGCACGTGTGTGTGTGTGTGTGTGTGTGTGTGTGTGTGTGTATGTGTGTGTGTGTGTGTGTGTGTGGAGACAGAGACAGGGAAACCATCAGAGAAGAGGGAGATGATCAAATCAAGTCCCATAGTATGCAAAACTATTAAGATACATTTAATGATCAGCAAACATTAAAGTTCCTTTAAAATTGATAGTTTGGACACATCTTGGAATTTTCACACCAAAAATGCAAAAAAAAAAAAAAAAAAAAACCTCAGTCGACCTCTCCAGTACGCCATTAAAATTCTGGGATTACCATTCCGTGTCTGCCAGGGCCTACGCTGATCAAAACAGCTAAGGGGTGTGGCAAGAGGAAGTATCAAAGGAAGGGACATAAACTCCTTTCTCTTTTTTCGCTCGTGACTCGTGACAAGACGGACCTCGTCTTGTGCAAGGAGACACTGTCCGGACAAACCGACTTCTTAATTTCAACCAAACCACTTAGCGCACTCTCTATCTATAAGGCACGGATTTAGTGAATGCACAAAAATAGAAATCCAAGGAATCTGTAATGTTATCGGTCCTGGTCAGGCATCTCGGCTCCAGTCTATTTGCTACCGTCGTAACGTAACTTCCTTGTGCTTTTGCCATAAATACTTTCATAGAAATTTTTCTGATGATCTTACCTTTTTGGTACTTTAATCTACGAATTTAAGCACAGTACTATATTGGTAGTTAGGTCCCATCGTCTTACAAATGAAATGGCTAGATGTAAACGTAAGTTCTATGCTAACAATTTCGGAAATAATCCAACAATTTAATATTAACAGAAAGAATAGCCTACATAGGGATACGGTGCCTTAGTTCTTATTCTTATTCGGATATTACACATTTATCTAAGTCCCGTTTCTCTTTAAAAACAGTCAGCATTGCCCTCTTCCGGGCTCGCCATTAGCTCTTTAATCTCGTCTGCGACATTTCAACGGCGATTTTAGCTTCACAAAAAAGCCAGAAGTCGGTTCGTTAGCTCAATTTTCAGTGTCGATAACATAACGGCTATTCGTTTGTGCGTGGACGAGCTTTTGGAGCCAGGTGCAAATTTCACAGAGACTGAATAGTCGGGTCGGAGATGGACTTCTTGATAACATCGGCCTGAGACGCGATTTCGTCGTTCCGTACCGGTTGACCCAAGTGAAATTGGGTAGACGGAACTATTTGGCAGCCGTCGATGATTGTGCTAGCACGAAGTCAAAAGTCATCGTGACCGATGGTTTGCGCTTACAGACCTTGTTGAACTTGTTTACCACACTAGATTGTAGGTTCTCTCCCAGAAACTTTAACTATGGCCCGCGCAGCCTAGTTACAGTTTTAACCACATGTGGGCTCTGTTGGTATTGAATAAACGCAAATGTGCCTGAGCAGGCGTCTGCAAAAGGGATTGGCTAGCCACCGTTACAGACGAGTAACCGGCCATTATTCGTCTACATATTCAGGGGAACTTCGACGTGGTGTGATGGTTGTCTCGTTGGATCAGTTACGACTGAGTAGTGAGTTCAATCCTCGCTGAATGCTCCATACTTTCGACCTTGTGACACATCTAAGCTAGGCTTAGAAAATCATTTGGGCACAACGACATGACATAATGGTTAGCAAGCTGGTCTCGCTAGCGCAATTGCAGCTGAGTAGCGAGTTCCATCTTCATTGGTTGTCCCTTGGCCTTGTGCCACATCTTCGTGACACGGCAAATATTTTAACTCGAGCGAAAGGTGTTTCTCTCAGTTTAATGTCTGTAATGATTTCAGCGTGTAAATAAATGCTAGGGGTATTCTTGTTCAATCCTATCTTTGTTCAAGTTAATTAAATAAAGCAAAATTATTATTATTATTATTATTATAGTAATTCAAGACTATTTTTACGGGGAAATCTCTCTTCTACAACCCTTAAAGTTAAAAAGAGTAACCATCGACTTTATTACTTACTGTGGAGGTGCCTATTCTTTTACTAATGATTTTTTTTTTTTTTTTTTGCAATTGTATAATAGATACAGACAGGTAGGTTGCTATAGAAAATTAACCTACGACCAGGCATTGATAAGAACACCTGCTGAAAGGTTTCCAACAAAACCTTGTCGATTGTAGAGTCTTTATAAATTTCGTTAGCCTACCTTGCCCTGGGTCGAAACTACTTTGCCCTTCCTATGTTACTATTGTCCTTTATTATTTGTTAATATTTGCTTTTCTTTCTTTCTTTCTTCCTCTTTTATCATTCTTTCTTTGCATTACATAATTTTTTCTTGACCAATGATGTTCTTTTTCCCTTATTCACCTTTCCTGCCTTCATTCTAAGCGTCTTTCGTCGATCTTCACTTCTCTTATTCATCTCTCGTTTTCTTTCTTACTTTATCGCTTTCATTTTCTTTTATTATTTCTCTTTTTCTATTTCTGTAATTCTTTATTTCCTTTTTCTTTTATTAGAAATAGAAAAAGAAAGAAATAGAAAGAAAAAAGAAAGAAAAAAGAAACGATTTCATTCATTCTGTTTGTTTCTTTTTCTACTTTTCTTCTTCCTTTTTCTATTTCTTTTTGCCTTATTTCTTTTTCTTTCTTTCTTTCTTCTTTTCGCTTACAAAATCTTTTTTTCTTTTTTCATTTCCTTAGTTCGTTTTTCTTTTCCTTCTTTTGATATTTGTTTTCTTTTTTCTGTTTCTTTTTTTCTTTTATACCATTTCTACTTTCATTGTTTTCTGCTCTACGTTTTTTTATTTTTAGTTCACCCAACACAAGCCCCAAGGGCCACTCAATGTAGAGGGCTACTGAGTGACATTGTTGAAAGAGAGGAGGAAGTAAAAATAATTTCTATTATTTCTTTTTACAATTTCTTTAGTGATTTTTCTTTCATTTTCTCTTTTTTTTATCCTTTTTCTTTTTCTCTGTCTTTCTTTCTTTCGTTTTTTCCTTTGTTATAACTTTTCTTCATTTTTGTATGTATTTTTACATTTCTTATTCCTTTTTTCTCTTTTAATATTTCTTTGTTTTCTTTTATTTATTCCTTTCATTTTTATTCTTCTCTATCTTTTTCTTTCCTCTTTTCTTTTACTATTTCTTTTCTTTCTTTTTCTATTTCTTTATTTCTGCTTTTTTCTTTATTTTTTTTAATCCTTTTTTCTCTTTTATCATCTTTTTTCTTTTTCTATTTCTTTTTTCCTCTTTTCACTCTTGTTTCTTTTTCACCATTTCACTTCATTTTTCTTCTTTATTTCTTCATTTCTTTCTTTCTTTCTTTCTTTCCTCCTTTGCTATGGCTTACGATCAGGTTATTTCGTTTTAGTGATTTTTCCCTTCTTTTCTTGTCTACTGCGTATTTTGTATTTGTGAGTTTTGTTGCATTCTGGATTCATTTTTAAATGCATAATTCAAAAGTTGTTTTTTTTTTTCCTTTAAGGAGAGAATAATCCAAACTTTGAAAAGAGCCACACGAGTTGCTTCAGTGGACAATAAAGATGGAAATTTAATTGGACAGGTTTTGACATTGCAATGACAAAAGAATATCTTGTCGAACAAAACGAGGCTAGCTGAAAGCGAGGTTCATTCCCTCGTCAACATAATTATCAACGCCTTCATGTTTTTTTTTTAATTTATAGTTACATTATTATTATTATTATTATTATTATTATTATTATTATTACTGGCGGGGTTAGGGTGTAGCACTCATTGGGATACGATTAAGATAAATAATAGGTGTATTATTCACTCTTTCTCCCTTTAATATTAATGGCGGCAGCTTCAACACCGGTGAAGAAGAAAGACGTCTGCGTCCATAAACTATGTCTAAAGAGAATCATTAGCAACCTAAGTGTCATAACGCTGTCAAAATTATGCAAGCTAGTATAAACATGAATATTAACACAATTATCACCTCGACAAAGTTCACCTTTCTTCATTAACTTAATTTCTATCGCTCTTTTTCTTTTCCTTCATATCATATTGCTTTCTTCTTCTTCTTCTTCTTCTTCTTCTTCTTCTTCTTCTTCTACTACTACTACTACTACTACTACTACTACTATTAGTGGTAGTAGTAGTAGTAATTGTCAATTCTTCTTCTTCATCTTCTTCTTCTGATCCCTTTTCTTATTCTATTCTTTTTTCCCGAGATAAGAACAGCGGTGATGAGCATATTCTATGGGACTTGAGTATTATGACCAATGCCACTTCTACAAATTTCATCATTCTTCATTTCTATCCGTTTTTCTTTCCTCACATCTTCTTCTTCTTCTTCTTCTTCTACTACTACTACTACTAATAATAATAATAATAATAATAATAATAGTCATCTTTTCCTGATCCTTTCATCTTCTTCTTCTACAACTACTACTACTACTACTACTACTACTACTAATAATAATAATAATAATCTCAGCTTATGAGAAATACAAAAAATTGTCTTGATAAGTCCAGCCCACACACTAAGAACTTTGTCCATGTAACGCTAGTGATATTATGAGAAAAACAAATCATGAAATGTAGCCATAACAACATACCACTCACTGCCTGGCTTAAGTCTTCCCTCAGACTTGGTAGGTCATGTGACCATAGCAGAAGTCGAAAGATGATGATGATGATGATGATGATGATGATGATGATGATAGTCATTTTTCCCTGGTTCATTCTTCTTTTTCTTGTTCTTCTTTGGCTACTACTACTACTACTACTACTACTACTACTAATAATAATAATAATAATAATAATAGTAATCTCCGATCCATTCTTCTTCTTATTATTATTTACTATTGTTTCTTTTTTCTTCTTTCTTTTTCCCCCCGAGATTCGAACAGCGAAGATGAGAATATTATCAAGAACAACGATAATACTTTATATCCAAATTCGAACAAGACCAAGAAGACCGGAGAGAGCGCTGGTCAAAATGTAATGATCGACATGAGAAAAATGAGGATCTTACTTCAAACCATAATAATATTATATAATTAATGACGTTTATCCATCTTAAAATTTCAGATAATTATTACGTATTTTTATTATTTTATCATTATTAGCAAAATTAGAATTGGTATTCAATTTTCAGATTAGGAATAACTTAAAACTAATTAACAAAACAATTCAATTCAACTTGAGGGTTTCAATTCTTTTTGGGA